CCTTGCAACTGCCCTGTGCTCTCCCCAGGGGCTGGATGCTCTCCAAGCCCTCCTTTTGTTCAGCCCCATGCCAAGAGTTCAAGCGCTATTATCCTTGCCCCAGCGTGTGAAGGCAAGGCTTTAATATTTGATTGCATCCCCCAATTAAACAATAGCCTCCCCCTCCTTCTGCAACAAGGCACTCCTCTTTCAGCCATCACCTCCACCTTGGATTCATTTCCCAAGCACAAGATCCCCATCCCAGGATGCTGCACAGCCTCCTCCACCCCCAGCCCTGTTTCGGTCCCCATTGGCAACTTCACCCCTGCTCCACAGATGGATTTCACCCCAGGTCCAGGTCTGGTGAGGTTTTGGGGTGGCCCAGAGCCACGTCCAGCAGTGTCGTCTGCTTTAACACATCCCTTGGGCGTTAAGGACTGAGCACCCCAGAGGGGGAATTTACAGAAACAGCTCCAAATCCCCATAGGTCACTTCACCTGGAGACCGGGATGAGGTGCCCGGCTCCCCTGCGAGGTGCCTGAGAGGTGCTGAGGACTGGGAAAACTCATCATACTCCTGCTCTCCCCCCAAAACCAGCACCATCTGCACTGGGATGCTCCCCCTGCCTCCTGATGGCTGAGTTAAAGCCAACGGTCTGGGGGAGACCAGGGGAGTTTGGGCAATGCCGGCTCCTGACCGTTTCTCCATGGTAGAGCCAGGCACTGGAGACCAAATCCCACGTGGGGCCCCGGCACAGCTTGTCCCGCTCACCTCCATGAACTCTGAGCTGGAGCCCACGTGCTGGCGGAAGCACAGCAGGAAATTTTCTTCCGTGGGCAGGATCTGGGCCAGCTGCAGGGAACGCGAGTGTCAGCGGGGGGAACATGAACATCAGGGATGGAACACGAGCGTTGGAGGGGGAATCACAGAATCGTTGAGGTTGGAAAAGCCCTTTAAGCTCCCCAAGCCCAACCGTTCCCCTAACCCTGCCATCCCACCACCAAACCCTGGCCCTAAGCACCTCCTCTGCCCAGCTTTTAAATCCCCCCAGGGATGAGAACTCGACCCCTTCCCTGGGCAGCCCCTTCCAGGGCCTGACAGCCCTTGCGGGGAAGGAATTTTTCCCCATGTCCAACCTAAACCTGCCCTGGCACAACTTGAGGCCATTTCCCCTCGTCCCATCGCTCGTTCCCTGGGAGCAGAGCCCGACCCCCACCAATGCGAGTATCTGGGGGCCCACAGGGTCAAGCACCACTTACCTCCGCCATCTCAATTTTGCCATCCGCGTTTTTGTCATACTTGTGCATGAACTCTTTCATCTTGTCACCCAAGTTGTCGTTCTTGGAGTCCTGCCGGCAAGGAGAGGGGACGGGAGTGTTTAACCTCCCAGCCCCGTGCCAGTGTCCCCCTGCTTCCCTCACTGCTGGGAGCCAGCAAAACCTGAGCTGCCCCGGTCCAGCTCCTTGGTGCCATTCCCAAAGGGGGCTGATGTGAGCCTGAACCCTCGGGCAGGAGGGAAAGAAGGAAGGGGGGAGCAAATCCAGGAGAGGCCCTTACCACACCTGCCCCCTTCCTCGCGCTTTCCAGCTCCTGGAAGAAGTTTTCCAGCTCTTTGCCTTCAATGTAGCCATTTCCTAGGGAAGGAAAAAAATGCAGTAAGACCCCCCTTCCCCGGTGTCAGAGGGCAGGAGGCGAGGGAGGGGTGGTTTCCAGGGGACAAAGCGCTTGTGCTCCGCACAGGGACATGGCTCTGAGCAGCAAAGAAAAACTGGCCGATGCCTAGTGTTACGCAAACCTGGCAATGACCAAATTTGCAGGGAGCTGGAGCCCCCCAGTGTTGTAGCCCAGGAGGGGGCAAAGCCCTGGGCTTGTCCCCTGCACCCACTTGTAAAGCGCAAGGGGCTTTGTCCCCATCCCAATGTTTGCTGCATTTTCTGCATCTGATGCTTTAAGGGGGGGTTTAATTAAACCTCTCCTTTCCTGAGCACTCCTCCCAGCCAGGACCCCACTGCGGGGGCCAGCAAGGGCAAAGGGGGAGCAGAGCCAAGGCACCCGGCCCAGCATCACCCCCCAGGTGCAGGATCAGCCCCAGGGATGG